AGTCCACTTCAGGTCCCCAAAAGGGCATCACCTCACAGAGACACCTCCCTTGGGTACAGCACCAGATCCAGACCTGCAGAACCCAGGCAGAACTTAGATCATGTCTTCCCACAGAGAAACAGAGTGTGGGATGGAGATAGAGAAGTCACTGAATAGAAGAGGACAAACACATTTCTTCAAAATATGGAAAATAAACATCTACCACGTTAGATTGCCTTGATGTTTCTGGCCCTGTTTTACAAAGGAATACTCTTGAAAATCAGATTGACAGTGTCTGATATGGATTGTTTTGTGCTAGCTGACGGTCTGTGAGCATGTCAAATACTGCCCATGAGAGGAACAACCCCATGGAGGAAGATCCACTGCTCCACAGATGGACCTCAGTTTCAGTCTCCTCACACAACATGTCCAGTAGAAGTGGTGTCATGGTCACAAACTGGCAGTGAGGCAGGCTTACCATCTAAAATTCTGTCAATCTCAGCAAAAGCCCAGACCAAACTAACTGCGGTGGTGCTGCCTCCCAGCCTGAGAGCCTCACTGCTCAGCAGGACCACAGTGACAGTCACCAGATGCAGATGTGGAAAACACAGGCTCAGCAGAGCCAGGACTTGGGGTTTTTTTATTCAGCAACAGTTTCCACTTTGGGAACCATGGTGGAAGGAAGCTCAGATAGCATCAGGAGAGTCTGCCATGCTCTCAGTAGAATGGTTCATGTGTATCCCATGAACAGCCTCAGCTTTGGTGCCTGGTGCTGAGTGACGATACCAGGACGTGGCTCCCAAAGGAAGGTCCCTGAGGCTGCTCATACCTCACCCCATCCTTCAGGGATCTCCAGAGGATGTGAAGTCCTTGAGAAAAAGGAACAAATCTCATAGCCTTTTCCACTTAAAAATAAATCCATTAAATGAGAGGAAGCGGGGCAGGTGGCTCATTTCCCGAGCTCTGTGATGCTGATTGCAGGGCGAGTCCGGGCTCTGATTCACTGGCCAGGTCGGGGCCATTGTCCCATACACCCATGCACAGGAAGGAGAGCCTGGTCCCAGCACCTGGGGCCACCACCCTGGCACCCCAAACCTTAGTGGGACTCACAGATCCCTGTGCACAGCCAAGCAACTTTCCCCTTCTTTGCTTTCCTCTCCTGATGTTTGACTACCTGCTGCACTAGCAGAGCACTGAGCTGCTGCTTCCCATGGAGCCCAGACACTCACAGCAAAAAAAATAAAACATAAATAATCACAACCCACGTGTTTAGTACACAAATGAGAAATCATTGGCGTTTTCCTCTTCCGTGATTCTGGTTAAAAGAGCAAGCATCAAACCAGGGAGACAAATCACTTCCCATCCCAGATACTGTATTTAGAGATGTGCTTATCTGGGAAGCCATGCCAGGAACACTGTGAGCAGGAAGGCACTGATTGACAACTAAGCCCTTCCTCCCCATTTAAGACATTTTATAACCTCCTGGGTCTTTCTTTAAGGAAGCTTCTTCTATCAGTTTGGCTCCCTGTCCTCTGTGGCAGTGGCTGATAAATTAAGATGACAATATGGATTGATGAGGCAGAATCTGCCCCCAGCCTGGCCCATCTCTCCTTGATGCTGCAATGAAGCCACTGTCCCACGCCTGGCACCCCAGCGTGCATCCAAGGAACAGCCTAAGCTGTCATAAATCCAGGCTTTCCCAGCAAGATCAAGAAGGAGGAGGGCTCTCAGAGGCCTCTGCTGAGACAGAGGAAGCTGTAACAAGTGTGTGAAAATTAACTGGATTCGTGTTTACATGTGATATATCTGCACATATGGGCAGAGGCAGCCATGCGCTCGCTCGGGTCCCGTCAGATGTGAAGGGTTTGCAGCTGGGAAGTTTTGTTTGCGTCACCCAGCCCAGTTCCACTCCTCAGCACACAAAGCACAGCTCCCAGCCCGGCCTGCCTCGCTTCCAGATGGGGATCATAAACCAAAGGCTTGCACCTGTGTTGTGCAGACATGTACACCCAGAGCTTTTGCTGACCACTGTGAAAATAAAGCCTCCAACACATGGGTTCAATGAAAATAGGATGGGCAAAGCTCTGCCCCCACACGCTCGTCGAGCTCAGTAGGAATGAGATGTGCTCTTGCTGGTTTAGGGTGTCACGCATCACTTTCTAGTGGCTGCTGCAAACATGGGATGAGCATTTCTTGCTCCTCACTAATGGCATTACCCTGTCTGCCTCCTGGGAGTGGTTCATCCCTTCTGTGCTGAGCGCCAGGGAAAGGCTGGCTGCAGATGCATCTTCAGGGGGAAAGCAGCAGCTGCAGTTTAACTCCTTTCTCCCCACCGTCAGAAAACACATTTGCATCTGAATTAGCCCGTCACTGAAAAAGTTATGTTTGTCAAATTGGCATTACATTTGTGAAACTGGTAAGTGGCTCATAAACTGAGGCCAAGGACTGTGATTCCTCTGAGCTTTCTGGAACCCACTCTGACTATGTCAATTTAATACCCCAGCAGAAGGGGCTTCTCTCCACTGTTTGTGTCTGAGGATTGAGACAAGATTAATTAAAGTGACTGCTTTAATCTTGGAGTTTATGAGTGAAAACTGAGCATTAAAAAAAAAAGGAGAAATGTTTTTTCCCCTAAATATTTTTCATAGTATTTCCTAGGAAAATGTCTAAACTGATGACAGCACAATATCTCTTTTTTAGTTTTGGCCTTACCTTCACTGTTTTCTGTAAATGAAAAAGGGGAGGAAAAGGTTCAGACTTTATAGACTTCAAAATTAAATATGTTACCACATAGCCATATGCAGAAATAGGCAGAAGCTTTCATTAGTTTCCCACTTCCAGAGTATTAATAATCTGTCATACAAGAGTTACTGTCTTTTTACCAACTTATTAGGGAAAAAACCTCAAACATTAAACTTCTGCACTAGGTGCTAATTCTTTGGCAGTTTGGGCTTTTTGTCTGTGTTTAAACAGACTATTCACCCTTCATTCAGGGGGAAAAAAATCTTTACCTGGAAATCACCTTCTGTGCAATTACCTGTTAAGACTTCAAATGAAGCAAGGTTTCATTACTTTGGAGAAGATTTTCATGTGAAATTGCTCTCCTCACAGGGGGCTGCCAACTTTGTTATTAATAGCTATCCCCTCACATTCTTTTCTCTGGACTATTGCATTATTGCTACCACTGTGGAGCAGGTCCTGCCCAAGGGAGAAGAGCTGGTGGATTTGGGGGGGTGGTTAGGTGGTGGCAGTGAGGAGTCAGGTCATTCATTACCCACCGGGTCTACCCAAAAACAATAATTCACAACTTGCAGAATGCAATCAAGTGCATTCCTCTCCAGAGTGATTAAAGAAATATTCAATTTGGTGCAACTGAGGTACAAAAGCTCTCTGTATCCCTCCTCTGCCAAGCATAGAAGAATGCCTTCCTTTAAATGATTTACAAAAACTCCCATATGCCAAAGACAGATCATTTACATGGAATCCAGGCAGCTTCATGCAATCACAATTACACATAATTGTCCCAAAAATGAGGAGGAGGGGGAGTAAATCAGCTTATCAGTGCTCAAGGTTTATTTTACTTCTCCCAAAAGAGCAGAAGCACAGGTTTGCTAGGAATCCTTTTTTGCTCTACTAAAAAAATCTGAAATGAAGAATAAATACAAAATAAAAATTCTTAGTTCTGATTTTTTAACTGCATCCAGTTTAGAATCACCAAATAATATAAAAGTGTTTTAAAGCCCAAACCTCTAGCAATAGTATAAATCACATGCAGGTTTCTTCAAAACACTGCTAAACATCCAACAGGAGAAAATGACGTTGTATATAACTTAATAGCAGTTGTGCCCTACCATATTAAAAATCAATTATACTTCACATCATGCAGTTTCAACTTATAGCAGATATTTGTGGTGCTAATTTGAGTTGTCCTGGATAATTAGAGGATCTGTATCTCCATCATTATAAAAAAATTACTTTTGCTAGGATTTGCACAGAGGTACTAACAGCATTAGAGTCATGATGATTTTAATAAAAGCCAGATTGTGTCTAGCTCTAATACTCCAAATCTTTAATGAATTTATCTCACAATATCCACAGAAGAAAACTGAGCACCTTTATGCCCCTTTTCAGTCAGTGGGGAACTGAAGCTCAACAGTAACAGGGTTTAGACACTCAGAGACATAAGCACTCTGCTTACCTTCACTTTTAACACACACACATTGCAAAAAAACCCAACGCAACCCCATAGGTGGTGACAGGGAAAGGAGATCAGACATTTCCTGGAGAGGACCTGAGCTTCCAACACCCACGAGCTGGTGTCTGTCTTAATGCACTGCAATATTTCTAGTGTCAGCCTGGCTTTGCCAGGGGGCATGAAGAAACATAGGCCTTAAATAAGCAACAGAATGTGGTAGTGGGGAAAAATAAGAAAACTACTGGAGATTTTCCTGCAGCAGGGAGAGGGTTATTTGCCTCCAAAAGGTTATTGTTTCAGAATTGTTTGATGAAATAATAAACAAAATCCTGCACTGCTAATAGTTTCTGTAGACCCATGCTGCCTTGCAATGCAGAGGAGGATGTGTACTCCCTGCCCAGAGATGGCTTCCTGCATAGTTTCAATGTGAAGGAACATGCACTCATTTGTCAATGACAAAAAGCTAGAAGGCAATTTCTTAGCCTTAGTGCTTTCTCTTAAGCAGAAATAGTCCCATCAATGTTGGAGGTGTTTAAGGAGATTCAAATGGTTTTAATGCTCAGGCTTCTTTTCTAAATTGAATTAAGAACCTGCACTGAACCAATATTGCAAAGGACAAAGGTCAAGGCTTTATTTATATAATACAAGGATGTAATGCAATAACCGGCTGTTGGAGGCACGTAAGTAAAAGCTCAGGGACAAAGCTGCAGACAGGATGTCAGCAGTGCACAGGGAATTAGCCATGCAACTCCCTCTCATTAATTACAGATACGCACGTCCCAGCCACCACACATCATCGTGAAGGCGTAGCCAGCAGTAATTCTGTGATTCATACCTTACCATTAACAGTGCAAGAAAAGGTGAAAGAGGATTGTGCTCTTCTGGCACCATCAGGTAACCGTGGTTTTGGGTTCTTCCCATGTCCAATCTGAAATGGAACAGCAGCCATGGAAAAACACGGTAAGGTGGAGCTTTCGTAATTTCCTCAAGTGCCATTTTTAGTCATGTTACTATATAAAGAATAAATATTTCTATACCAATTGTCAGGCAGCAATATAATACTTTTCTACAAAGCCCTAACAAATATTAATATTGTTACACCTTGCAAGATCTCCATAAGCATGTTCTGTGTCAACACACCTGTCAGAGACAAAAAGATTTAAAAGCTCAGAAGGACTTTGAAAGTTCCAGTTCTAAATATTGCTTTTCTTAATTTGTAGAGTATGTTGCTTGCTTAACATGGGGCACACCCTGCAACTTTACTCCCAGTCAAATACATCCACAACTTATTGGAGCTCATCATATATGTTTGGGTACAAGACTACTTAATTTTTTGCCAAACATTCTCTTATTATTGCCAAAAAAACCCCAATTAAAAACCCAACAGTTTCAGCAACAAAAATGCAGGAAGGGGAAAATATTTCACTTGTTATATCTGGCATAGATGCTGGTTTTTTTTTGGTTTTTTTTTTTTTATATGAGCATCACATCCTACTCAAAATCTGACTTCCAGTTTGTGCAAGAGTGCCACAAAACCAAAAATCCATCTTAAGGTAACAGAATGTACACAAGGCTTTACTGTCTTACTCTAAGAGCCTGTTGACATTTGCTTTTGTCCTCATGACATCTGTAACTAATGCAACATTGCAGCCCTTACCAAAGGCTTTAAAATAAAGTTTACCAGCATTAACTGCCAGGTAGCCTTTTCCAAATGTTTTTCATACACTTTCTACACCAGACTTAGAAAAATGCAGGTCTTCATGAAGTCTTTAACTGATGGAAAAGATCTAGCAAAGATTTACTGGTAACCAGGTGTACCCTATTTCCCAGGCACTCTGCTGGCAGAGAGCAATGAATGATGTTCTTTACCTCAAGAAAACTGTACCCCACAGGCTGGGAAAAAGCCAAGCCAGGAATCTGCTCTTCAGCTGAGCTATTTTACAGGCCAAACCACCAGTTATGGCTCATGTTCACCCACAGAGTGTTGAACAAGGCTGTGCTTGGTAAGTAGTACCCCTTGTCACCATCGGTCTCCAGAAAGACAAAGGTCAAACACACACTGTTGGTAGGCTTTGCCCAATTCTCGGGGCAAGAGGGTCCTTCTCTCACAGAGGGCAGCACATGATCCCAATACCTGCATGTCATTTCACTTCAGCTGTTTCGTTGTGGTCACCCCAATACAGCTGAGAGATGTAAAGGCCTTGTAACATACAGAAAACGATAAATGTAAGAGTTGTGAATTTCTCTGTTAAGGATAGTAATTTTTTTTTTTTTTTGCATTACAATTCAGTTCCTCAGGATGGGAACACTCAGCTTCCTGAGCTTCTGGCAGCTGAAGAATTCAGAATGTGCTGACTAAGACCCCATTAGAGCCATCCTTTAATTGCTGTGATCTCCTGTGCTTGACTGCTTAGAACAGCCTCTCCAAGACTAAAGCAACCCTTAATCTTTCACTCTCTGCTCCTGTAGTCTAAGTTCTGCAGTATAAAAATACCTCTTATTTGAATCTGTTGAGTATTAAGCAGCTTTTTGTAGGGGTAAAATTCATGAGGCCATGGTTGACTTTTCCAGACCCCAGAACTTTGGGTTGTCCCAAGTCCTGCAGTGCATTAACCTGCCCTCAAGAAAAGTACACCTCAGCTTACATCAACATAAAAGGCAAAACCTTTCCAGAGCAAGAGAACGCACTCTTTTAAGTATGGTTTCCCTAAACAAAACAGAAGGTAAAACACAGGTTTCCAAAAATGTTTTGAAAGGTGTTTCAGCCATCTGGTTATGTAAATGTGAGCAATCACAGATTTTTAAACAGTCTTTAGTGAGCTTGGTGACCTGGCTACACACATAAATGCATCCCTCAAGAGGAAAAAAATGTATAATGGCTGGTTTGGGATTCATGGATTTGCTGTGAGTCTGTGCTTAAACAAAAGAGAGGGAGGTGAGGAGAAAGTGAATGTATGGAAACACAGACTCAGAGAAAAGGGGATACAAAAAGAAAAAGTAAAATGAAATTGTTTATGGTTGCTCAATACAAGAATAGACAAGCTTTTAACATACAAAGATTCAAGCACAACATGGACAGAGGAAATTATTATTCCAGCTCTACAGAGAAAATCCCAAAATGCAACTGCTTAAGAAGTGGGAAACTCCCAGTGTCTGGACATTCCCCAACTCAATGCCTGCCTTGTGCATTTTGCTGTTTCATGGTGTAGGACTTCTGCTTGCAGGATGGGAAGCACAAAGGCCCTTGTGTTTGCTTTGGGCCTCTGGCTGCTATTGTAATACACACCACCATAAATATTGCTCACATTCTTTCAGCACTACACAGCAATTCTAGAAAGTGAAGAGCAACAATCCAGGCTGAGGATCCAGTGTATTGCAAGCACCTTCCCCTTAAACAGCCATTGCAGAGGAAGAAGAAACAGAAGAGGGAGCAGAAGGCAATGACAGAAGGGAACAGATTGTCACAATGACCCATCTCCAGAGGAAACCTTCTGCTGCCCCCAGGAACCTAACTGCTGGAATAGAGGGAAGGTCATAAAAACCAACCAGCAAGCCACCCAAACCCAATTGCATTGAGCAGCTCATTCCTGGAGACTAAGGATGGATGCAGCTCCACAGAGTAGAAAAGACTCAGCACATCAACTGAACTTTCTTTTTGGTACAATAAAAGAATTAAATGCAATGTGCAAATAATTCAAGAGTTTATTGGCAGGGTGGAGAAAGAGCTTCTACATTCCAGGAGTGTTTTATTACTGCCTGCTTTTGAATTGCAAAGCAGTGAGCTCAAGGGTTTTTAGAGTAAGACCATTGTAAGAGGCATTTTTGTTATCCAATGCCTCAGAGGAACAGAGGAGACTCCTGAAACATCTCTGTAACTGCATTGTAGGAAGCTGCTGCTGCAAGCAGGCACACAGCTGCTTAGAGGCCATCAGAAATAGAATTAACATCTCCCTGTGTCTTGAGACACACAGAGCTCATAGCTGGGTACCCCAAAGCTGTGTTGGCATTCTGCAACTTTTAGTTGATGAAGACATGCAACTAAAACTTCTGCAAGTACAAGGTGTGCAATCATACTTTCCCTTAGTAAACATTTCTGAAATGAATGTTTGATCTTAGGGAGTGCAAAATCCTGTTCCTGAAATCAGATGCATAAACCCCACTCACTTTTGGACATCTCAGTCTTCCTACAGCACAAAAATCATCCCTGTGTAGTTAAGCTGCACAAAAGGAAGAGAGCTGTTCTCAGTGCTGCCATTCTCTGTAGGATGTGCTGTTCTTTCTAGATTTTTGAAGCTGTGGTAATTTACATTCTCTGACTCCTTCTCCTAGTTTCTCTGAGACTATTCAGCCATGACTTTAGGTGCAGTAATTGTAGGGACTAGAGAACTGTTCTTTCTCCTGGGGACAGAAGACCAGCCCAGCTCTTTCACAAGATTTTACTACTTCTCTTCCAGCTTCCCACAGCCCTTGATTTCTTGTGTATGTATCCATCCCTCAGACAACCCACCAATCCCCAGATTTCTTCTAACATGAACAAACTCAATATGATTCACAAACCTTTTTTACAGGTACAACATAAAAATGAAAAGGGGAATGTTCTAGGCCAGAGGGATCAGTTGGACAAGCACAGAAAAACAGAGACTGTGGTCTGGACACAGACATGCAAGAGAAAATCTGATTAATCTGGAGGGTAGAATGACTAAAATTTAGTCCATGGGAAGTTTGGAATAAAATTATCATCATCATTCTGTTTTTGAGAGAAGCACAGAAATTTGAGCATTCTTTACAGGCAGGAAATAAGAAAGAAAACTCATCAAAACAATATTAAGTTTTTCCAAATGAGACAGCAGCTGAGATTCCCATTTCTTCATCCCTTGAGCTGCCAGGCACTCATCTTTTCTTTCCAGTAACCCGAGAGGGAGCCAGGTGTGCCCAAGCCTGTTCCCAGGCTGTCAGAAGGGCACAGCAGAGGTTGCCAAACTGCTGGCTCCTCCAAATGGAAACCATGGAGCTGGGTACCATCAACCCAGGCAGCTGCTGGGACACATCTATCCTAAACCTGTGGATCCTGGAGCCAGGAACAGCCTGAATGGCTGAGTCAGCAGGCCCTGGAAACCCAGACTCCCCGAGAGCTTGCCAGCAGCCAGGCAGAGGGCCAGTGCTTCAGCACAAGTCAGTAGGAACCTTCTCTCTGCTTTGCTATCAGCTAGACAGACTTTTCCTAAAGGGAATGCTTGTCATTCCTGCTGGGAAGCTGCATGTGTGGCCCTGCACCCTACTTCCTCCCAGCCCTTGCATGAGGACACAGCAGCGCATCTTGTGGCACACTTGACACTTATTTCCTCTCCCCTTCCAAAGCCAAATTTAACACAATCCAATCTTCCTGCCCCATGTTCTTTGACTGAGGCGGCTTTGCCTCCATCCTGAGACAAAACATTTTTACTAAGGACATTTTATAACAGATAGCTTCCCAGTCCCTCTATGACCACTTACTGCTGTGGGGTGCAGTTGCTTTGTGCCCACGCAACATCCTCAGACAAAACATTTTGGTAAAAGCTAAACATTCCAGAAGGGTTTTATAAGATCTATGATCCCAAGTGAGTCTTTAAATATATTTTATTGATTAGTTTTGGCTGTATATGAACAAGGAATTGAGGCTTTATCCTGCAGCTCTAACTTAGGCTGTTTGCATATTACAGAGTGACTTTTGTCCCAGTCAGAATTAGGCCTTCAGTCCTAAAGCCAACAACAACAAACTCCAATGTAACCTTTGAAAGACAGACATGCGTGAAGAATGATCTAGGCTAAACCCCAACCTTACATCTCCTCTTACAAGACATGTGCACATTCCCACTTGGTTTTGGAGCTGTGCTCCTACCTGCTTCCAGGAAACCCAGAACAGACAAGAAAACATGACAGCTTTCACGGTTCTTTTCATGAGATACCCTGCTTGCCTTTTTTTCCTTTCCCTACTTTTAAAATCAGAGTGAGTTTTCTTTCTTCCAGATTTCTCTAATCTTTTCCCTGTGGTGTGTCCATTTTAACCAGCCTCCCCTCTTCCCTCTAGTACCCGGAGACTGCTCTCTTTGTCAGGGAAGTCGCAGGGAGTTCAGGTTTTCCCCTCTCCATTTCTCTTTGGACCTGACACTGCTTCTGACCTCTGCTCAGCCTTTGCTTTGAAGTGCTTTTTCTGCTCTCTGCTTTCCCACTGGATTGTGTTAACCCTCCTCCTTTCCCCGCTCCATCAGTTGGCTTCAATAAGTGAGAGGAGCTCACTGGAACCTCCTCTTTTGTGTTATCAGCATGCTTTCACTTCTCATAAAACCCTACCCATCTTCCACATAAAACGATTTGGCAAAAAATGACAGCTTCCAAGCCCTGGGAACACTGCTAAATTCCACGTGGGAGCACCCCTGGCTGCCCCAGACAATCCTGTCAAATAGGTCTTGTGTTTGACCTAGGCAACTCCCCAGCAATGTCTGAAAACAAGCAGCCACCTTCTTCCCCCTCCCCAGGACCATGGCATTCAAGTGGTTTTTTTGCCATGTGCTGCAAACAGCATTATCCTTGTGGGGCTCTGCAACTTTGTTCCTGCTCTACTGCAATTTTAATGGAAAACACGCCCAGAAATTTGGTTTAAGTACAGATGACTGATTTGATTCAGTCTCCTTGGTGCTACAGCTCCTAACTGATGGATGTTCAGGTCAAAGCAAGAAATGGCATCAGCACAAAGACTCCTGTAAGTTTCCAGATCTATAAATATTCACGTTATTCCCCACAGAGGGGAAGAAAGAGGATGATTTGTATCCTTCTAGCTTGTTCTGTTAACACATTCCCATTTTTCAGTGTTTGCAAGATGGATAAATACTGTGACGAACCTAGGAAACCCTTGTGAGAGAAAATACATTTTAGAGTAAATTTCATTGGTGTGTAGTTTATAAATGTTTGCAACGGAATGTGGAAAATATCTGTATTGATCACATTAATGTATGCTGGATACAGAGGACCAGTCTTTTTTAAGACATGAATAGAATTTCCACTATAGTAAAGAAACCTGCAGAGTTTGTATGTGCTATATAAACACATAGACAAAAACACTTTAAAGTAGAAATGCTATTTTGATTATAATGGTAAAGCTTGATTTATTTTCTATACCTCTTGTGCCAGAAAGTTAAGCGTCTCACAAAAATCTGAGTCATATTGCCTGAGGATCAAAACCAGAGAAAACTCAAAGCTTGCTAAAATGTTATAACCTCTTAACTACTCCATTAATGAGAGCTGGTGATAACATTTAAATAAAAAAGTAAAAATATTATTTTGCTGAAAAATTACAAAGATAAACAGTAAGAGCTTGGAAATACCTTGGTTAACACAACAGGCTGAAGGACTTATACAGATCTCTCCTGCACTCTCCTAAGTATTTTTCATTATTGCTTAGTAGATCATTAATTATTTTTGAAAGGATTATTGTAGTTACAAATTCCCACTCAGGCTTCTTCACTCACCACTTGAGAATACTGCAAAGGAACACCTTTCCACACATGAATGTGATCCACATGTGCATGTGGCTTTGTGCAGGTGGGAGCAGCATGGGGACACTGAGCCACAGCATTCCAACACCACTCCAGGCTGATCCCCTCCCTGACATCTCAGCACAGGTTAATTCTTCTCTGCCACACTGAAGCAGCTGTACCAGCAGTAATAACCTTTCCCTCCTCCCCCCTTTTTTACCCTGGGCATTTTAAGGCAAGCCTCACTACCTGTGAGCCTCCAAACCCCTTTCACCCAACACAATGGTTCTTCTTACAGCTGCTCATTTTCCAGCTTCCATCAGCATCATGCAATTAAAGGATCTCTGCCATGAGTCATTAAAACCCCTCCCCATGAAGCTGTCCAAATCATTAACCAGCCAAGAAAAGACACTGGGGATGATGCATGTGGAGTTCACAGCCCCTCACTTCACAGCTACCAGCCTTCTTAGGTGCAGTGACTTCTCACCTTTCAAACAATAATGACAATACATGATAATAATAGCAGTAGTAGTAATTATACACATTGAGTGCTCATTTAGCTGTTTTGCTGGCAAGTAGCTTAAGCAAATGGAAAACAGGGTGGGAATAACCTACTCTCATGTCCCCTAAGTCCCTGTGGAAGTCAAGGTGGCCAAGGTAATTTTCCATACATTGCCAGTGCTGATCATCTGCTCGAGGGCAGCAGGACCCCTGGTAGCCCTCAGCAGAGCCTCCTCCTCCTTCCAGGTGTCTCAAGGATTTAGGAAGGTGAGTGCTCATGGTTATGGAGCTGGCTAACAGCCATCACTCATTTGACACTGGCCATTAAGCAGCCTGGAAGCAACCAGCATGGCTCTTAAGCTGCTGCACATGTTTACCTTGCCTGGGGGAAAACAAAGTAGGGGAAGTGCTGGCAGAACCCATGTCTTGACTCTGTACACAAATATCCTCCTCCCCCCACTTCCCATTCCAGATTCTTGCATTCATTGCATTACATCCTTGGTGTCTCAGCTGTGCTGTGCAGCAAACATCAGCATCTTTGCCCCACAGCCCACGGGGCAGGAGGAGCAGCTGTGTCCTCACTGCTGAGTTCAAGGCAGCAGACGAAGGCAGAAAACCTGCAGCCCAAAGGGATCCGTGGCAGGCCTGTACTCTGAGCCCTCCCACCACAGCATGAGAGAAATGGCTTTCAAGAACAATGATTATGTACATTCTGTACCATGTTAAAGAGGGAAAATAGCAACAGGGACAAGAAAAGCTTGGGTTGGGAAGGATGTTCCAGCAGAGGTGATTAATGGTGTTGAAAGAAACCCCCATTGTTTCAAATTTCTTTCCAATTAGCCACAAAGCTACTCCCTCCTTTTCCCTCTTGTTCTATTTGCCCCCCTTTTTTTCTTTTACCTGTGTTTGATTTAGAATCAAGGTTCATGATTTGTGTTATGACAGCAGAAATAAAGGATCTGTGTACTGTATGCATGGGGATTTAAAGCACTGCCTTTGATGGCTCATTAGCTGCATGTGGCTACATGCAACACTGCTCGACTGAGATATATTGCCCAGGATTTAATTCCAGAATTATTTCAAAGGCATTAAATTGAATGCTTGCCCTTTTCACCATGGTATTTAAA